TGAAACTGAGAATTGTTCAATCTTGTTAGGTTTGGAAGCCATCTCTAGATTGAGCTTCCCAATGAAAGCCAGGTTTTTGACAATGGGACTTCTAAAAATAAGCCATAATCACTGCAAAGAAAATAACAGCTAGCATAATCCTGCCCATTGTCTTTGTTAAAGCTGTGGAATTACTCTTTTCAATTACTCTTGTCTTCATAGGCTTCCTGATACGATCATGTGTGGTCAAGATGGTTTTTCGAGCCYCATCCCACTTTCCAGGGCCTTGTAGACGAAACTGGGCTGGAGTACAAGGTCCCAAAAATAACTGTAATGCTAGCTTGGGATCAGTGAAGGCCAGAGACAGTAGATTAGGCTTGACTCCCACCAAATCAGCAATCTGATCCATGGTATCAATGTAGTCTCCCTGAATGGTATGGCGTTGGCTTTCCACGTACCTAAAATAGAGACGAGAGAAGCCATGGTCTATCAAAAAAGGTAATCAACTAGTCAATCAGTCAGCATACATGCTGTATTGATTTGGGGCACATTATATTGATTTAAGAAATTTTTTTTTTTTTTAGTTGTTGATGGACCTTTACTTTATTCATTTATTTATATGTGGTGCTGAGAATTGAACCCAGTGCCTCACACATGCTTGGCAAGTGCTCTACTGCTGAGCTACACCCTCAGCTTGTATATTGGGCTACATGCTGTAGTAAACAGTGAAGAAAGATGATATTTGTCACCATTCTTAGAGATCTTATAATACATTAGAAGAGAAAAGATTGTTGTGTACGTAACAGAACATAAAAGGGTATTATGAGTTGGACTGCTAAATAGAAATGTAAAAAAGGGTAGTTAAAAAAGGGCCATTGAAGAATTGAAAGATATAGGTGAGAACAAAGAAAAAGTATTTAAAATCAGGGAACAGCAGCAAAGTGAAGGAATAAAGCAAGAATGGGCATAGAATATTTGTGGTCATTGTCTAAATTAGTAGAAAACAAGAATGGACAGCATTCCAGATACCAAAGACTCTGATGAAAAAGAAGGAACTCACTCCAGTCCTCAAGCATGGGATTCTCAATTACTTTGTGAGGGCAGTGGTCCTGGGATGGATGAGGGGTGA